GGACCGAATTTTTCCAGTGTATTACTTTTCTCTATGGCCGAGATTTCATTTTGAGATTTCTTTTTTAAATAAATATCCTTCCTGCCCTAATTAATATTACAATTATACCTACATAGAATTACAGCAAAAACCCATAAAAGAAGGTTTTGCAGTGCTACTAGCGGAGGAAGATTCTCTTCAGGAAGGGAAGAGCGACAGAGAAATAATTGGCAATGGTTAACTCAAGTTTAGCGTATGAAATTCTCCTATACATAAATTCATTTTATTTTGGACTTTTCGCAACATGCGAATTAGGTACATTGATTTTGAAGTCGGTGTTGATAATAGAAAAATACGACATTGACAAAAATCCAACAAAATTGGGACAGGATTATGGGGTGCTTGTGGGACTTTTCATCATCGAGGCAGCGAGATTAACATTGGGCAGAAGAGGGAGTCTGAGTGAAAGAGGTAACGTTTTACAAAATATTTGGAAAATATGACCTGATTTACCTATATATACTCGCATTATTGAAAAGTTTTACCTCTACTATCCCCAGATATACCGGTGATGTTCTCAGTGCTGCTGACGCTACCTTCGATCGTTGGAGTATTGTATCTCTTGATTTGGCAAGAAGTTGTTCTTCGGATTGAGTACATATGGTGCACTTTGATGTTGTCATTGCAGATGCTTGAGTTCATGTTTGCTGTTATGTTCATTGCAACTATGTGCAAAGATCCCTCATATGACTAGGTATGTTATGATGTCCATAATACTATATCACACTTTGTACCAATGAAATGCCTTAGCTTAGCAAAATTGCAGGAATGTGTTACTAAAGATTTAAAATAAGAAACAATTATCTGGTATACTATTTTAAAATTTTGGTAAGCAAACAAAAGCAGCCTAAAAATTATTTAACCAGCATTCTTAGTCTTAGTGTTAGTAGAACGGCGGGCTGTTTCCGCAACTCCACACCCAGTGCCTATTTTGCGTGGGGAATTTAGCCAGTATACAAAGACATTGTTAGCAGTAATAAAAATCAGGCTGCAATTCCCGTTTTGTATACAATCATGATAATGGTCAGTAATTTAAATATAGACTGTTTTATTATGTATCTGCAAAATCAACAGCGCAAAAAATATATTTGGGCACAAGATTATAGAATCGGGAGCATAGGAAACATTGCTTTAAGCAGTGTATTTGAGTAGTGTGCATATTTAAATTTTGGTCAGCAAAGTTTTTATTGAAAAATCTTAACTTAAATTCCTGAAAATAAAAGTTGTGGTTCTCAGGAGGAGAACCACAACTTTTATTTTCAGGAATTTAATTTAAAACTTACTGGATCCATTTTATAGGTCACTAGATGTTCTCAAAAAATAGAAATTAAATTACGTTTTAACAAATAAAAAAAATATACCTACCTATCAAAATCCTATCAAAAGTTTGTTGTATGAATCTCCATAAAAAAAATCGTTTTCCTGTCCTTCCTTTCCTGCCCTGATAGAATAAATCGCCTCCGGCTTAAAGCAGATATTATGATTTGTATCCCCTAAATATCTGACCAATACATACTTATAGCTGGCAAATTAATAGACCCCATGACTAGCCGACTAGGACAGGACGCCTATGAATGTTCTGAATGTCATCTCCAACTCTTCTCCTTGTTTTCAGGAGATATGTTTTATTTGTGGCGTCAAGCATCTGTTCAAGACTGGTGTCAGTTATAGATTGTTTAAAAAACTCTTGATGAATCCGAATTCAGTAGTATAAATCTTGGCTGATATAAAAGTTTCTCTAAAGGAGTGAAAGTACCCGTTCATGTATGGTAAAAATATTTGCTTCTGTAAACGCTTTGTCCTCGAATACCTTTGGTTCTTGCACGGCTCGACCGACCACCACGCGTACAGGGCCCACTTCTGGTCCTGGCATTACTACTGTGGGTAACAGCAATAAAAGAACACAAAGAATGTTCAGATTCTGGACGGATCTTATCTTCATTCGAAGAACCATGGTAAAAGGCACTGCTATCATAATTTCGCGTTGAATGGATCTCTTCTGTTGGATTCTCTTCATCCGACAAATCAATAAATTTTATTCTAAGATAATTGATTTCATTATCCCGAAAAACTTACAAAACAATTTCAAAAAATGTAATGGAAAGTAAAAACGTCTATATTGTATAGTTACTACGCTGGCCATTCTGTGTACACATAAGTCGTTGAGAACAAATGTATTACTAGTACAACATAAAGCTTTTAATGTTAATATTTTAGTTGTATGTGTGGTGAAATACAATAACGGTGTGTTATTACAATAAATGCATCAAAGCAAATAATCAACTACTAAAATCCTTATAAACAACACAGTTTTTCATAAAAAAAAAACAATCTTATCACGAGGTCCTGGTACCGAAGCCATCGTCGACGTGAAATTAACAACAAAAAAAATTTAAGCCACTTTCTCAGCCAATCGCTACTCAGCATGGCTGATAGATGTTTTGTCTATAAAATGAAGGTAAAAGATAGAGCAAATTTCGTTAGATGGTGGTGCAGGATTTTTTTCTTTCTATGTTGTAAATATACTACAGTTTCACTCAGGAGGTTAAAAGAAAGAAACTTCCTCTTATTATCATAGTATCCATATTAAATATAAAAATCACTAGGTTAGGTTATAATAGTGTTCTGATCAAAACGCATAAGCCAAGCAAGCAAAGAGAGCTTGTTGCGGCATCAGCTGGCAAAGCTCCAGAAAAAAAAGCTTTGTTGGAGTGTTAGTTATTTTTGAAAATAATATGTGTTTTTGGTGGGGAAGAGAAGTTGTGGGTCATCACCTACCCCTCCCTCGTTACCGCCCCTTGTATCAACCGACCTTAATCTATATTTTTACCATTTATTAGAATCTTCTCACTAGACTTATATTAGCGGCACACAATTGAATTTTTTGCTTACTCTCTGAGTGCTTATCAAAATTTAATTATATATTTGTCAATGAATGCAACTTTTATATATTTTTGGATTTACAAAAATTTATACTGCTGTTCAGAATGATATAAATTGCAGGCTGATTTAGAATTATTTGCTGATCATAAGTTATTTTGGATTAATAGATTTTTAGCTAACTAAAATATAATTAATTTGCTATCCGGTTAAATAACACCCATTTAAAATAACACAGTTATATTACATAAAACATAATGCTGGAAAAATATTCTTAAGTTTATAGTGAGCTATGCATTTTATCTAGTGTTTGCATGTATCTTTAATATGTAAAGCCTGGGAAATTAAATTCTGGCTATAGAGCTCTTCTAGTACAATCAAGGAACTGACACTGACAATTAATTTCATTTATATTTCTCTATGTGGCTGTTCTTGTAATACTGCCTAATAATTTGTGCAATGTTAAAACTAATTATGTGATTGATTTACAACACTGAAGTTAGCAGTACCAGAAATTTAAATTTGCATTGCCCATGTTGTTAGAGTATTTGGTCTCATATGGTTAGACTAACAAATAAGTAAAACGTTTAACTATATTTTTTACAGTAGTTATATTTAGTCAGTACATACAGCCTTAACTGAATAGACAATATTGAAAAACTCAGGAAACTTAAATTACCCAGAAATTTACAAACAAGTAAATAAGTAGTGTTTTTTTCACAGCTTTTATGATAATATGACAAAGATACAGATAGAATTAAAGGAAGTGAAACTCAATACAACCTGTTATGGTAATAAATTGCAGGTCCTCTGTAACTTAAAATATTTGTTAAATATTCAGATTAAGATTGTACTGTGTATTTGAACTAGATAATTTTATAGTATCCTTGATACATAAGAACATCATCCTCAATATTTTTTAATATATAAGATTCAGCCCTAATGTAACTAAAGTGATAAAGTGGCCTTTATTTACAAAGTTAAAAGTGGGATTGTTATCAAAAGAAATCTTCCATTGTATGGTAGCAGATAAGATTGACTATGTATTTTTGATGTCTAGCATTGTTTAAAGACTTAGATGTATTTACTTATATGTAATCAAATTTTGCCTATAAACCAAACCAAAGGTAGTCTAGTCAAAGAATCTCCAATATATTTATTATTATTTCATATACAGTAATCAAAGTTAGTAAAAAATAATCATCTAGTTATATGTTTACATGATAAACCTATGTTGTCAGTGGCGGCGTTAGACCACATGTGGACGTCGGTCGGCGACATCAAGTTCGCGAGGCCTATTTTACTTCGCAGTAAAAAACAGTTAAATTAAGTGCGCCAAATTATAAAATAACGTATGAGTAAACGAGTTTTATTGTTGATAATCAAATGATGACAAAAAATAATTACAAACATAGAAATTTAATAACAAAAATAGTGTTGCCAGACAGACGATTCTGAATACCCGTAAAGTACTACTCGCTTCCATCACGCACGTGTTCGAAAATAATAAATGTCATTATCATCTGCTTAGCTTTTTCCCCGAATTGTTCGGGGTCGGCTACCTAAGCCAGGCCAGGAGAAACGAAAATAAATAGGTAACTTGTAAAATTTTTTTGCGAGGCCCCCTCAGGCGCGAGGCCGTCGGCCATGGCCGACGTCGCCGACGCCTAGCGCCGCCACTGTGTGTTGTAATACTAGTATTATTATCCAAAAAAATATTTTCTTACTACTCCAACTGTGTGAGGATGTCAGTGTGTGTGTGTGTGTGTGTAAGCTAATTTCAAAATAAAATTCATATAGACATATTTAGTTAGACAACTAGTAAGAATATTTACTTGACCCATTGCTTCAAATATTACTTTATTAATCACTAGTATCATGAAAATGCACACACACACATACACATGTAAATCTAGTAAGTAGTTTATTGCTTAAAATATATTAAAGCACTTACAATTTTCTAACAGTATCTTTATTTAGTTAGTACCTATGAAACCTAATATGTACTTATTTACCAATTTAAACCTACCATTATATTTGCTGTGTTGTGAAATAAATTTATAAAAGTTTAGAGCAAATTTTTATTTTTTAAATTCTTCCTGTAAATAAAGTGGTGTACGCCCTTTTGCCATTTTTTCTCTTTTATGCACTCTTAATTCATGTCTCAATAAAGCTTTCCTTGTTGCATATTTATTGTCACAAATATGACAACATAAATCCTTAATTCCAGCATGGTTTGATTTAAAATGAACATCGGCATCCTTCTGAGTATAGAAGCCCCTGTCACACTCAATACATTTAAATGGTTTATCCTTTTTATGTGTTAATAAATGTCTGTTCAGATTACTCCGTGTCAAAAACTTCAATTTGCATGTATGACAAGAAAAAGGTTTGTTACCTGTGTGACACCTCATATGAATTTTTAAAGACTCCACAAACCTCCCTCTATATGGACAAACTTGACACTGATATGGCAGTTCAAAACTGTGCAATTGCAAATGTCTCAATAAATTATCCTTACGGTACAACTTCCCACAGACATCACAGATCAAATGCGAGGTAGACTTGTGTCTGGCCAAGTGTTTCCTATATGACTGTGCTGTTATCAAACCTTTGCAAATACGGCATTGAACTCTTATACTCCGGTGCTGTTTTGAATTTTGGTGCTGTAAGTATGTTTCGTAGGTATTAAATTCCAATTGGCATATGGTACATCTAAAAGAATCCTCATTGTTAACATTATTTTCTGCATCGTAAATGTTGTTGTCGTTTGAGATATTATTCAGCGCAGTATCATTCATCAACCCTTCTGCAGGTAAATTATAAAGAAGAAAAAGATTGGTTTCTGTTGCTAACTTCCTGAATAAAATTGCGCCTTGCAAAAGGGAATAGCAGAAGTCGCATAATAGGTTTGGAAGGCCATCGTTTTCGTCTATTTCAATATCACCAAAAATTTTTACAGCATCTGAAATGTCCAAAGATTGTTTCGTGTCGTAAATGGGAACAGAACCCTCCTTTAGGCATATTCTGCATTTTGTAGAGGGGGTATTATAGGTATTTTTAATTATCTCTAACCTTTTCTGTTCTCCACTTTCAAATTTCTTGTGTTTGATAAATTTGAGAAAAAAGTAAGAAGAAGCCATGGAGATATCATTTATACAGACGAATTCCCTTTCTAGGAGAGTAAAAAGTTGAAAACCCACAAAATCCTGAGTGCCCGTGTGCCGATTTACTTACATTAGATAACTTTCTCACCAAGTTTAGTCGTGAAGGCTTGTCTGACGCGGCTCACTTCGTATTTAGCCTGATGTCTTCTTAAGTTCATTTCATCACTCACAAGCCTCGGTTGGGGCGTTAGGAGTATAACATTGTTTAAAGCGATCAGTAAATATGAGTTCTTTTATGATTTAAAAAAAAAGCGCTTTATATTCGCATTGCACAAGCTTGTCGACTATTATTTACGGAGTGGGTTCATTCTCTATGGACTATTACCTTCCTTCTTCCGTGATGCCGATCGATAATGACGGTCCTAACCTTAAGTAACGTTACTCAACACACACCTACGTTTGGTACTATCTGTAAATAGTTTTACTTTAAACTGATGGAAGCAGTAACAAATGCTTGAGAATTTAAATATCTGACTGAAAAAGTCAGTTATATATGGCACGCGAAAAGTCTAATGGTGCAATTACAATTGGTCGTTAACCCGTATTCGGGTGCACGAAAGACATTACTCGTATTGATTTCGGGTACTGGAACACGGGACGAAACGAATGCGGACGTACTCGACTGCGTTCATTTGCACTTAGTCGTTTGTCCGAATTCCTTAGGCATTCTTATTCGGGCTAACTGCCAAGTGTAATCGCGCCATAAGTCACCATGAAAACTTGATTCTATCACGTTATTACTAAGTATTTTACTATTTATTTAAATGAATCCAACCTCTACGGCGTTATATAAAACTTTTTAACAAAAAAAAAACCGCCGGAAAGTAGAAAATAATAAACATTTTTTATCTTTAGCCACATTAATATTTGGAGTCGGTGCTAGTACTAGGCTTACCCAAGTAGTAAATGGGAACTCGGATCTATCAGGCCTGCGAGACACTGACTCCAAATATTAATTTCACTAAAGATAAAAATGTTTATTATTTGTTACTATTCAGCAGTTTAATTTTTTGTTAAACAGTTTTTACTTTTAAATATTTTGTGGCTATAATTTTGTAATATATAACTCTGCATCAAAGTCTATTTGTGTCCAATCAATCATCCCCTGTTTTCATTACCTTAGTGCGGGATATTTTCTTTCATATTTATATGAAACCAACTTGGCGGTATACCCTTTCCTATAAAGAAACAATTATAAATAATCAGACTACTCTGTAAAAAGTTATGCGTGGTCATACATAAAAAAAAAACAAATATACGCGTCGACTTGAGAACCTCCTCCGTTTTTTTCGTCGGTTAAAATTTAGTGCGATTTCATACTTATCGAGTCAAAATGTTATAATCGAAGTCACCTTATTTGTGGGGCTCTGTCTAGAACAAACCTTATATTTGGCGCCCAACGTGGTAGTCATTAAACAGCTGGCAAAACCTTTTATTCAATTCAAAGAATTCACTTTGTACCTTATAAGAAACAGGTATAAAGAAGATTTTTTCATCTTAGGGCACTACCCATACATACAAATAGTATAAGTACAAAAGTGTCTGTCTGTAACCTCTTCACGCTTTAGCTAATGAACCGATTTCGATGAAATTTGGTTTGTATATAGTTAATCCAGGGAAAGGACATAGGTTGCTTTCCAATTACAGAGCATAATGCGACTCAGTGCCGCACAATGCCGAATTATGCTGATGCTTAATTGGAACGTGAATTAGTTTTCAAATGCACCAGCAGAGTGCGCTAAGTTCAGTGTTGAAAAAAAAAGTCAATGTTTGTACCTTCATCCATACTTATATTTATTTTTTTAACAGTTTGAATTAACTTTGATTGTTTAAAAAAAACTATTTAATTAAACGAAAGCTTTAATAGTTTTTCAACAATAAATAATATTACTTACGATAACATATAAATAAAACATTTCGATCAATGCCAACTCAAAGAAAAAACACTTGTTAATTTTCTGTCACTGGGTTGGTACGATTGCACGCATCACACGAAAGCATTACTTTTGAGAGTGCTCAATTGTGCGAAGCGTTGCTGTAGTTGGAACACTCAACGTTAAGCATTATGCCGCATGCATTGCATGCATTCCCGCTATAATGCTGTAATTGGAAAGCTACCATAGCTATCTTATGTATTCCCATCTATGCCAGAAATCATCGTTTGGGGTGAAAACGAAGGGGGTGGAAGCTTGAATCTGAAATCAATTGAAGCACGCAGACGCGGACGCAGGACGAGGGTATCCGCTAGTAAATAAAGAACAATACATCGAACACTTTTGTGCCTTTAAAATAATTTATTATTTTGATCATATCTACTAACTATTGCTGTTTACAAATGTTATGTCCAGAATTCATCAATTTCCCTTTTTTGATCTTGATAGAAAATTTGAATGTCTTCACTACAAATTAACAGCTGTTCACAGGAACCATTTCATTTTGTTTTTTCTGTTCTTCTTCTAAGTATGAAGGCATTCTTCCAAAAAGCATTTTCTCCCTTTTGTGAACATGACGTTGATGTTTCATCATAGCATTTCTATAGCCAAATGCCTTGCCACATACATTGCAAACATGGTTTTTGATACCTAAATGATCTGCTTCATAATGTCTTTGTAAAGCTAATGTTGAATGAAATGCTCTTTTGCATGTGTCACATTTGAACTGGGGCTCTTTATGCTTCAGCATGTGGCTGTTTAAGTTGCTTTTGAACAGAAACCGTGCAGGGCACTCAGTACACATATACCTGTAATCACCTGTATGTGTGCGCATATGTGTTTTTAATAGTTCTGCATACCGTCCCCGGTATGGACAAAATGTACACTTATATGGGAAATCATTACTATGTCGCAAGCTGTGGTTGTGATAAGCACACCTTAGCCTAAATGACTTACCACAAACATCACATACATATTTCTTATGGTCTGGATCATGAATTGTCACATGTTCCTTAAAATATGAGCGGTTTATAACTTTACTACATATATGACATGTAACTTTAGAGGAACATTTCTTTTTTTCCTGCTTTATGACATCACCTCTTATTCTAGACCAATCATTTTCAGGTGGCTTGGTATCAAAAATGTCTTCATCTGTATAATTGTGATCAATAAGGTCCACATCATCTAAGTTATTGCTTTCTATCTTCAATGGTTGCTTTAAAATGTCCTGGGTCTGTTTTGCTACTTTCCGAAATATGACAATGGTTTTGATGAAGTCATAACATACACTACACAATGCCTTAGGTTTATCATCATGTTCATTTATTGTATCACCAGTAACTAATTGTAGAACATCAATGATGCTTTCTGCATTATCACCATTGTAAATTTGAGCAGTACTGCTTTGTAAACAAACTCTACATTTGGAGTGTATGTCTGTGTCTGTTTTAACATGAAGTTCAGAAGTTGTTTCAAAATGTGTTCTATAGTCAAATATTGTTTTATTTGTTTTATTATTCATTGCCTTTTGTAAATAATACCAAATAGCCATTCTGATTTGGAAACTTATTTAATTGTTACCTAATGGTTATAAAAAATAAATACTTTCATTAAATTCCTTTTATGGATTCACAGATTGATTACTACTGTTTTTTTATCTGTATTTGACACTGAATAGGTAACTTATTAGAGCTTTCTCGCGTATATTTTTAAAGAAAAGCCTGCACTACAACATAATTTGTTCAGTGCAGGGTGACTTACTTTACAAGTTAAATCTATAAACTTGTTTATTTCATGGATTCCACAGAATCTTCGATTTGTAGTTTCAATCCCAATTCCAGTTCAAAGCTGTACCATCTCTTATGTCTATTTTTATTTTTGAAATTTTGTGACAAAAAAGTCACCCCGCAAGAATTACAACTCACCCTTATTCAGAGCAACTCACTCACAGAGAAAATTCAATCCAGTGTGACCAGATTAAATTTTACGAAAATACCGAGGCACCTCAAAAAAATACTGAAATATACCGACTTACATAGGACAGATATACCAATAAAAATACTGATTTTCTTAACACGTTTTATTTTATTCATACGTACTCACAATAAATGTTAGAGTTATATTTTAACATCCTTTTCGAAGGATTAAAATTTACACAACCTCCTTCATTTCTTCACGCTCTATCTAATAGTGCAAACCGCATTAAAATCGGTCCAGCATTTGTAAAGTTTTAGGCGAACATACATTCTGCAAGTCTGATTAATACTACGTATTAATTGATAATTGTATAATATACAATTACATATTATGTAGTATTACAATACTACAACGCCGTCAATGGCCGTCTTTCTTGTCATATCTGTAACTTACTCATAGATAACATGTATAAGTATAGGTAAACCAAATCCGGGAAAGTCCCCAATTTTTACGTTCCGGGGAATTCCGCAAACATTGTCGCAAAGACGATCACTCACTACGGTGTTGCCATAACTTCTACCAAAATATACCCAAAAATACTGACTGCCAGCAATATACCTGAAAATATACTGATGTTCGGAAAAATCGATGAAATATACTGAAAAAGTATTAAAATACTGAATCTGGTCACACTGATTCAATCAAATTAAATCACTTTTTTATTTGCATACTCAGTAAGAAGGCAAAGCATACTTAGTTCATACAGTATTTTATTTGTACGCAGAATTGGAAGCAATGACATTGAGTGATAATATTTTGCAGGATATAAACATAGTCGACCACCACCAGCAGAACTGAGAACGTTTTCTGTACCAGTCACGACACATTCTAATGTTTAAGTTTCTCCCTTTTATAGACAATAAAATTGCTTTAGTCGTTAAAAACCAGCTGTGCTCTATCTATCACTCGATCCTCCTCTATTAATGAAATGAAATGTTAATTCCGTATCAAATGATTCTTGCTCACTTTTTTTTTCCAATTTCAAATACACCTTCCGTCGTGCGGTTCTCTCCCATTTTTACTTGATGGTTTTCTGGAATGACGGGCGCCAGGTTACTACCTACCCACACTGAGGCGCAAAGTCTACTTAACCGTCAAATCGCGTACCTATGTTGTTCATAGTCCATGGCTCAATTTAAATGCTCATTCGATGAATTCGCGCTAAAAACTTAATACAAAAGACCTTACGTCACAACAGCGCCGCCATAGGTATTATCTTTTTTTGGCTCGTACAATTTGTACTTTGCAAGGAAGTTCTTTACCTAACGGTAAAAGGAATGCTCACTTGCTATTTTGTAAAGAAACAATGTAAGCCTTAGCAAAAATTAAGTTCTACTTTCCGTTAAATCCTTTCGTTTAGAAAGGAAAACCAGTCTCTAAAGAGACTAAGTTTTTGTCGCGCAGTTGCCAGTACATAACTATAATTGATATAGTAGAATATCAAAGTACATCTTGACTTTATTTAATAAATTATATTTTAATGAAAATAAATAATTTATTTATGAAAAAAGCAATGTTATGAAGAAATCCTAACCTCAACGAGTGCAATTATTTCTTGATAGAACTATTACTTTGCTTTTTATCGCTTTTTTGAAGTGAAACTTCTTTATCGGCGTTGGAAAAAAATTTACCGTCACATTTTTATTCGGTTACGCGTCACGTTTTTTGGTTACGCGCCATCTTTTTTTTTAAAAGAGCACTATTTACCTCATCCGAACAATTGTAAGTTGTAAGGTAAGGTAAGGTAAGGTAAGGTAAGGTAAGGTAAGGAAAGGTAAGGTATTTTTTTTTTATTTTGGTATCCGTTTGCTTTGTTATGAGCAAAACACTCGCTTTTGGACTACGAGCTGTTTTTCTCACTGTTTTATGTTAATATAGTATATTTGTGTTTTTGTAAATTTTAATTGATGTTTTTGTTAAATTCTTTTAAGTTCAATATGATTTTTTGGATGAATTCTATATATGATTTGATTGTTGTTTCTTTTTTAATAATGTTATTTAATTCATAGGGGTTTAGGTTTTTATTGTTTGTATAAGTTGTATATTGAAAAGTTTGTATATATTCATTTCTGTATGTGCTATATTTTGGACAGTTTTGTATTAGATGTTCTAGTGTTTGTTGGGTTGTATCGTCACAGGGACATTTGTCTGTTTCTTTTATTTTAAATCGATGTAGATACTGTAAATGGTACCCATGTCCTGTATATATTTGAGTAGTAATGAAGTTAGCAGGTATTTTTTCTATTATCATGTTTAACCCGGCGTCAGCACAGTCAAAATATGCATCAACGACAGTAGGGTTGGGTCGAGAGGACCCGTATAAGAAAACGCCATAATTACAAAAGTTAAAATAAATTTGGTTTGTGGTTGTACTATCTGTATAAAACGATTATCGTTATAGGTTTTGAGTAGAAAAAAACACAACATGATACGAAACTATCTTTTTAATGTCATTTTCATAAAAGTGTCACAAAATATTAACAAAATGGACAACCTCTGTCTTAAAGTAATTAAATTTTAACAAAACAAATTTTCTATAACATATACTAACAGGGGCGGTTTACGAAAACGGGCGCCCTAGGCCTGACAAAATTAGCGCCCCCTCTCCCCTCTCCATAAAATAGTTGAAAAAGCACAGGCTAGAATAAATGATTTTTATACACTCCCCCCAAGTAGCAAAATTCTCCTATAGCAATTGACTTATAAGATTACACGTCTTATAGAAATCTAGTAGACGCATTAACTTAGGCCACTGATCCTGCCAAAGCATCTTCTAAGATGATTTGTACTACAAGTACTTTCGACCCTATCATTTAGTTTTATAAATGTTAATAGGATTATTTTACACGACTCTTACTAGAGCGGTCAGTCAAGTTCAGTCTTATAAGTGCAAGTTATAAAAGTTATTAGCAAAGTGTGACTTTTGATCCGATAATCGCATTTATTAAGATCGTTTTATCTTGTTAACGTCTTGTTTTATTCTTCTATAAGACATGCACTTCCTATAAATGCAACAGATATAGCTGCTAGAGGTAAAGATATTATAGAACAAATTTATCTTAGTCGTGACCCTTAACGGATTTTTAGCACCAAGCTAGCATAGCCTCTGATTTTTATAAGTAAAATTCTACTTAAATGTGTTCTAAATTTGCTATTATTAGAGTAATCGGCCATCTTGTGATTTGTTAGAGAAAGCTGAAACAATATTAATATGGATTTAAATAAGTGGAGACGATTTAAGCGTAGTGGCGGTTATCGAAGAAAAGTTTCGAAAAAGTACTTTGAAATGAAGTCGATATCGGAGTTCGTGTCAAGCGGATCAAAAGAAAAGTTCTTAAATAAAAAAGAGCCTGGTGAAGTTGGTGAAGTTTGTGATGGTTCCGTACACGGTAAAATGGAAATAGACTTAGACAACTGTGAAGACAATTTTACAGAGAGTTGTAATGATCAAGAAGATACGGAAAATGATAGCGGAAGCATTAATAGTGGATTTAATGATGGTGATCATACTGAGTTTGATAAAAATTATGAATTACAGGTGGATATAAAACAGTGGGCTATTAGAAATAATATATCACATTCAGCTTTAAATGAACTTTCAGCGATTTTAAATAAAAGGATAAAATATGCTTTACCTAGGGATGCCCGTACTATCCTTAAAACTAACAATAAAACAATAGACGTTACTACTGGGGGCACAGGACATTATTGGCATAACTGTTTAATAGATCAGTTAAGAAAGGTTTTAGCAATTGTAGATCAAATTCCAAATCTTATTTCGCTTAATATAAATATCGACGGTCTACCGATATACAACAGTTCGAGACAACAATTCTGGCCAATACTATGTAGTATTTTCGAAATACCAAAGTTATCACCTCTGATAATTGGTAAGTAGACTTGTAAACACAGAAACACACAAATTATTTTTCTAACTTTATTATCTGTATGCTATATGTTTAAGGTATTTATGCGGGGACCAGTAAACCATCAAATTTAAGTGCTTACCTTGATCCCATGGTAACCGAACTAAAACAACTTGAAAATGGGCTGGTAGTCAAATCTAAAACTGGAAATGATGTTATAGTCACAGTACAAATCAGAGCTTTTATTTGTGACTCTCCGGCAAGAGCATTCATCAAAGGTAATATCTAGATTATAGGCTTTTTACTTACAAAACGGGCACATTATATTTTTTATTGTAAAGTATTAGATGTTTTATTCAATTTGGGAGTCATGACTCCCATGGGGAAATTGATTGTTACTAACTGACAATTAGATGACTAAATTTCAAAAATTGATTGTTGTACTTGTAAGTTTCTAACAAAAAATATTTCTGTCTAGGTGTTGCCAATTTTAACAGCAAGCATGGCTGTTTGAAATGTACAGTCGTGGGTGAATATTCGCATGTATCTCATGCCGTAACTTTTCCTACATATGACTGTCCAAAAAGAAATAACGAAGACTTTAGAGCCAAAAAATATGAAGAACATCATAAACAAGATTCACCGCTATTACAATTGAAAATCGATATGATAGAAAATTTTCCTGTAGCTGACTCACTTCATCTTATAGATCTTGGTTTGATGAAGAGATTACTTTTGGGTTGGAGGGATGGAAATTTCGGTAAATACCTTACCAAATGGAGTGCCAGAGATATTGAAAAGATCAACAGTTTTTTATCTAAGTGTAGAATGCCCACAGAAATACATAGATCAGTAGGAACAATAGACGTGTTGGCACATTGGAAAGGGTCCGAATACCGAACTTTTCTTTATTACCACAGCATCATAATACTGAAATACGTATTGAACTACGACGCTTACTTTCATTTTCTCAACCTTTACTGTGCAATCAGAATATGCTCGAATGAAAAGCATTTCATTTTTTTACAAATCGCTGATCAAATGTTAGCTTATTTTATACAAAATTTTAAAATATATTATGGCAAGGATTACATTACCAGCAACATTCATAATTTGAAACACGTGGTAGACGAAGTAAGGAAATACGGAAAACTGCACAGCTTTAACGCTTATCCCTTTGAAAATAAACTATACACTATAAAAAGGATGATCAGACACGGGAATAAACCACTTCAACAAGTTGCCAAAAGGCTAAACGAACAATTGACAGCAGAGATTGAACATTTTCATGAAGATCTACTAATAAAGTATCCATTTATAAAAACATATCAACGAAAGGGTGTGTTAAAACATGTTCTTCACTTTGAATCGTACATTTTATCAACACAAAAAGAAAACAAGTGGTTTTTAAGTGACCAAGATCATGTTGTTGAACTGAATTCAATATGTTTTGAAGATACTGACGAAATCAATGAGATTCTATTAAATGGACATCGAATTACACAAATCCAGAATGTATTTGATAAACCCTTGAAATCCTCGTTCTTAGATATTTACAAATGTGATTGTAATAATATTAACAAAATTGAAGCTGTGTACGGAGTGAAAAATGTAAAATGTAAGCTAGTGTGTATTGAGTTTAACTCTGAATTATTTTTCATACCTTTACTACATACTCTGTGATGCAGAATATAATATGTAATATCTTAAAAAGCAGCAAAGAAAATAAACAACATTCGAAAATTTACTTCTTTTTATTTCTCATCATTCTTCCATAAAAAATATTTATTTTAATTAAATGTATTTAAACAATTTTTCATTAATTAAAATAATCAACATAATATTTAAACTCGTAAATGACAAAACAATGAATAGGAACATGTTTAGGCTTTCTAGAAAATTAACATACATTTCCATTAATCGTAGTTATTTTAACAATTCTCTCTTAGTAATCAGTACTTAAAACAATTACAAAATAAAAGTCTCGGCATAACTTTAAGGAATGACCAACGAATAATAATTTAGAATCTTCATAATATTTTAAGGACAGCTGTAATACTGTATACTATGTCACAGTCAAAACTACTTTTGACTGCAAAAATCAGTTAATATACTGAGTGATTTGGGTTAGGTTAGGTTAGAACTTGTGACCAAATAACAGATCCCCTTCTCAGGATTCCCAGATTCCCTTTTTTTCTCTGACTGAATGATTACCAAAATTTAATTAAATATGGGATACTTCTTGCAAAACCATTATTCACTGATTTTTGCAGTCAAAAGTGGTTTTGACCTGTTGTTACAACATATACATATACATGTTGTATACATATACGAGTACAACAACATATACATAATATATGTTGTTACAACATATACATATATAGGTTTCTTGATAAAATTTCTGAGTACGATGTGATAAGTCATTCTCTTTTGAAGTTATACCAGCAATTTAACTTACACAATAATTACCTAATACTATAACATGTACTTTGTAAATCAGTCTAGGTACTAGAATTCAGTATAATGCAGTCTTATAATTTGTACTCTCACTAATCAGTCAACTTTCGGCAATATTCGATATTTATTTCAATTCGTTTCCGTATTGGTAATTTCTGTAATCACCATCGGCATCGTTTCTGGTTGCGGCGACTCATCTGGGCTCGAATGGGCTGTCTCAAACGGTTGGGAGTGTGGTGTATTTTTAGTTTTCTTTGGTCTATTCTTCTTTGAAGATAGCCTTAATTGCTTATTATTAGATCGCTGAAGTGAGTTTCTCAAAATGATTTTGAGGAACTTGTGGCAATCAACTAAAGTAAAATCTCCATCAGATTCATGAAGTGTATCGAAGAAGAATTTTATTGTATTCCTGAAACTTTTAAAGCATGAACAATCCCTTAAAAAGTTTCTTTCAAATAAAACATCTATTAAAATGTAGGCATTGTTATAACCCTTTCCTTTGCCCTTACTGCATACAACTGAAATTTTATTCTTCAATTGAGAAATGACTTCCGGATCGTTAGTTGCAAGCAAATTTTCAAATTCTTGAAATTCTTTGAGACTGGTAATGGGCTTTATGTCTAATGATTTGGTTTTTTCTTTTGGTTTAAAAACTTGTATTGCAATTTCTTCAAATTGCGTTTGCATTTCTGCAAGTTTAGAAAGTATGTTGTTTTGAATTCCAAATAGTACTTGTTGATTTTCGCTGATTGTATTTAAACTAGCCGTAACTGTTTTTAGGCTTTCTGATATTTCATCAATCTTTGTTGGTAATATATAATTAGTCAAACGTGGATCTTCCATTTGTTGCAAAACAATAGGATTTTGTGGTTCTTCAGAAAAAGCTGGAATAGTTATAACTTCTGGCATAGCTTCTTGAGTAATAGTGTAGTTCTAAAAGAAAAGGAAATAGCTATATGACTATCTTAAAATCGAAGCAAGGTAGCAGATACTTACAGTGATACTTACTGACAATTTATACGTAACATAGAAAAGCAACATGAAATGGACAAACGTTTAGTAGTCAGTATAGTTTTCAACCAACCTTTGAACATTCTTCGGCTACATCATTAAAATTGATTTCTGTATTCTTGCTTGTGATTTGCCTAGTACGTTTACTTATTTCGAGCTCAGTTTCGGTGTCTGAGTTTTCACACATTATGTCGATCATAGATTCTGCCTTTTCGAGACTTATTAAGTTAGTTCTTTTTAAAATGCAATTTTTTGCCGACCAATGTTCTTCAGGTACTGAATTTTCTATTTTTGGGAATTTCTCGGAGTTTTTTCTGGGCCAATATAAAATCCCATCCTGTTCCCATTGCTGTGGTACAGCAACCAGGACAGCTTTCCCTCGCTCTATTGTTTGAACTATTTTGTATGGCATTATTTGAAAGTTTACAGCGAATCTGAAAAACAAAATAAGCAATAAGGATACCTCCTTACCGTACCTTCACTGAATTGACATAGATAAAAATAGTTAAGATTTCATCATGAAATGAAGTAAACTTGCACATGCTAAAGTGTAGGTACGCAGATGCTCTAAGAATGGTGTCCGTGCGTAGGTACATTAAAACGCCATCATATATAGTACCTATGTAAATATCGCTACACCACATTCAGCAAAGCAAAAAAAAGTGCACATAAATTCCATCTCACACTATCTACATTGAAATAATTCCATCGTTAAAACTTGTCAAATACACGATACACAATTGAGATAATAAACTGTAGGTGCACATACGTTTGCTTAGCGGCGTCAAGGTCCACTGTGGAGTGGGTTGGTTTATTGTCACACGCGCAGATGTACAGCAGAGAGGCAAGCACAGAAATAGTAAACAGAAAATTAATTATAAGAGCTATTATTTGCGAGAAAAATTGCGCGTGCATTCGACGTGAAATCAAGTGTGGCACTGTTGAGCGAGCGTTTAGCGCGAGTCCGCAGAGCGTCGCGGTCGAACAGGGAAGAGGGGTACGGCGTGCGGGCGCCGGTACGGTGCGCGGGCTCCGGGCGCGGCGGCGGCGCGGCGCGGCGACGAGCTACGACCAAGACAGTGCGCGTGATCTTGACGGCACTAAGCGTATGTGCGTCTACAAAACATTGAAAACTTTTTTGTTTCCCTGGATATGGTTTAGATAGGTGTAGGTAAACAATATGAGCAACGGTGATGACGAAATAGTGAAAAATCAGGTGTGCTATATAAAATATATTTTAGTATTGAATATCTACTCTGAACAATGGAACAATGAATTATTTCGTAGAAAAATACTCAACAGCTTTAAACACGTCAATTAAGAAATAATGAAAATTCCTAAGAAAACTTACTAACAGCAAATTTCACACTCATCGGTAGGGAAATGATCATAAATCGCAAAATGCTTGCAATTTTGACACCAAAAAAAATCATGGTATAAAAATTTTGTCATCTTCCCTTGAGCCACAGTGAAGTGTACCGGCCTATTGATTGTGTCGTTAGAAATATTATAGTCACAACCATAACATTTTTTTACTTTCAAAAAGTGTGTAATTTTCCACGGCCATTTGGCATACTTCAGCTTATGGAAATCCTTTTTAGTTAAAAAAATATCGACATCCATTAATACAACCATTTCCAGTCCAGAATAAAATGCAGCTTGCTGAAAATGTTTAAGAACTTTATAATTACGTATTTAGGAAAAAAGGCAATGAAATTGATTTTGTTTGGACACTAGTCTAGGGGTGCAAAATTACGTAAGTAATAACAACATTACCTACACATCATAACATAATTAGGTTAGTATCGGGGACCTGTGGCAATGTTTGATGTAAGTATAAATATTTACAACAACTTACAAGATTTGCACATTACCGTATGGTTTAATCCACATTACCCACAGAACCCTAAAACTTAAATATGGTGGCGTAGGTATGTCATGTAAGCGTCTTAACTTTGATTAAAAAGTCATTTAAAGGTTCTGATAAATGCAATGTAATGGCACGTGTTTCGACCCTATGTCGGATAGGTATTTATTAATTTATTACAGAATTAACAAATAATGAAAATGTTAAAGTTTGAAGGCGTATGAAGATATTTTTATTATTGTCTAACACTTCATCAATAAAATGATTTTCACAAGTTGAGTAACCACTCTTTACAAAACAGTTAGGTACACGGCAAATGTTATATAATGACAAACATTATTATAATGTGACTTTACTTACTTTTGGAAAATAAAAGAGGATTCAATGTCACGCACCAGCACAGTACAATGAATTAACGAAAAAAGAACGAATGATAGACTGAATGAATCTACTAATGGTATTAAGCTGATCACTGTATGATCAATTACTCTAGTAGCGGCACGCGCGAGATCATATGAGGACCAATTGCTCTTTTTAGATGCATTTACCGGATTTTTATAGGACAAATATTTTGTTAAAGCACTTAATAAGGTAATTATAAAATCAAATAGCACTTTACCGGATTATAACAAAGCGACTATAGGGCGAAATAGTCCTATGAACTGCGCCCAAATGCGGCTCTATAAACGTTTACAGGATTTCTATAGGATTAAAAAATACGTGCTCCTAGGATAATTACAGGGCCACATTTTGCAAAAGTATGGGTTCACGTCTCGAAATTTTCAGCTTCGGTATAAGTTCCATATCTTGGTGGAAAAAGGTCGTAAGAGAATTTAATGAGCACCGTTTTGAAGGGGACAGTTTTAGCTTCACTTTGCCATTTTTTATAATTTTTTACAATTTTTTTTATAGTCCCCACGCGCTTTTGAACATGGCAGTTTTTCGATGTTTTTTTGCCTTCTGGAAACGGGCTGTCTGGCTGTTAAAAAATTTTCCTTGCAATTTTATCCATCGCAGTTTGAAAGAGGATATTAAACACTGCATTTTCGTTTTTGAAAAAGTATCGTGCGATTTTTTTTACCAAAAATATTCTAATTTTTGACAAAAATTGATAATTTTATTCAATTCGGCGTATCTTGAAAACGGCGGGTGATCGAAGAAAATAGCAAGAGGGTGAAAAGTTGCAAAAGATCATGATGGACATGGTAGATTTATTTCAGAATTTTTTTCCGACATTTGTTTTTCCATACTCGTGGAGTCGAAATGATTTTAATTTTCCCATGATTCTTTCTTTTTTCTAAACGGCTGAGGCATTGCTTTTATTGGTTTCATCTTCATCTTGACGTAATTTGAACTAAAAATTAATTTTATTTAAATGAAAAAAACGTATAAAAAATTGTGCGAAAT